GCACTGCCTGAAAAGCTTTCCCAGCACTTGATAAGCACGGCTTGCAAGTATCGAGTGCGACCATAACGTCAGTATCGGCATGATTATTTCACCCCTAATCTCTGCTGCTCACGTATTAATTTTTGACGACAATGATGACATTAATTTTGTTTGCACGTACACATCATGCTATCACACCTTGATGCGTAACAAACACTATTTTGACTTACTTGCATGCACCTACTATCACTAGCTTCTTCTAGGGGCAAAATACAATGCATTCACGTACTTCATACTGTTACTAGTCACTAGTACCTATCGTCACCTACACCTACACCTAGGTGTTTCCAAAAACAAACTAGCAAGATGTGTAGTATTTGCCTACAAGATGACATTGTGTAGTATTTGACTACAAGATGACATTGTGTAGTATTTGCCTACAAGATGACATTGTGTAGTATTTGACTACAAGATGACATTGTGTAGTATTTGCCTACAAGATGACATTGTGTAGTATTTGACTACAAGATGACATTGTGTAGTATTTGCCTACAAGATGACATTGTGTAGTATTTGCCTACCCACACCTGCATGTAGGCCTGGTCACGGTTTGCCAACGCAAACTAGGAGGGAGACGGCAAGGGGGGGGGGGGGGTGATGTGTACTGTACAGTGTTTGCCTATTGACGATAGGCAAACACCACACATCAACCTACAAGTAGCCAAGTAGCCAAGTTTGTTTGGGAAGCACCTAGGTGAGGCAGGTAGTTTAGTTCAATACGCATCATTACCGTGACGTTTTAATGTTAGATATTCCTCACACAATGGTCACCTCGTAGCCTTTACTCATCCTTCCTTAGTTCTGTTTGCATCCAAACACTCCTGGCAAACAACAAACGTCAGATAACCAAGAGCCTAACACAACACTGCCTTGCATACTCTTCTATTATTCCAGTCTCCAACCTATAGCCTATATAAACCAACACTTGTTCCCGATTGTCTTCAGATATGTAGTATTCACCAATCTTGAAAAGGACTTTGAATTGACACTTGGATAGCCCGGAGTAAACTAGTTTCACCATTGAAAAGAAGCGAAGTTTGTGTAGAAGTTATCATGTATCGTGAGCGCTGAAGACAGGTTAGAATTGTTACTGCCTTTATGGCACTGAATGTCCTGTCAAACAGCCTCGTGGATGTGTGCGACATGGGCACTTCCACTACGACCGTCCAGCGAGGTAGTGGTTCACTGCATATTCCATCATCTATTCCAGCATGGATACCCATAGTTGCCATCCTCGGAGTTCGTACGTATGCAGACGCACTTCTGGGAAGAAAGAAACGCCGTCCCTTCTGGTCAGCGCTGAGGGGCCGAGGAGTCTGGGAGACTGATTTCCTCCGTAACCACCCACTCATGACTATGCAGTATCGTGTTCTGGATTTCGAAAACGCGCAGTATATTAATCATTTGCGCATGGGCAAGGAGGAATTTTGGCGATTTCACGAGGAGTTCGGACGACTGCTGGCAAGAAAGGACACACAATGGAGAGCGTCTATTCCTAGCCACAAGCGACTGGCCATCATGTTGCACTGGCTGGCACATTGGCCTACCTTCCGGGAACTGGCGAGACAGTACGCAATCCGCAAGTCCACCGCCGTCCACATCGTTCATTCAACCGTAGATATCTTGTTTGACATGGCGCCACGGTCAATCCGCTTCCCAGAAGGGAAAGAGCTGAAGAAAACCATGCAAGAATTTTTGATTATTTTAAAGATTTAGCAAAGCTTGAGAGATGCAGAGGAGCTGTGGACGGAACGTTTATGAAAATCAAAAAGCCACAGATGCAATTCGCAGACTGCTACTCTGCCATCATCACCCTAGGCACAGTTGATGTATGCGGCTTGTTCCTGAATGTGAATGCTGAGCATGCTGGATCGGCCGGTGACGCTAGTGTTTACGCTTCATCTCGGCTGGCACGCAAGATTGGTGAGCGGAAGTGGCTAAGGCTGCATTCACACACGGTACAAAAATTCGCGTTTACATAACGGTACAAGCCACTTGCAACGCCTGTGCATTCACACAGTCAAATGCAGTGCATGCCAAACACGTAAAAAGTGACCCGCGTGACCCATACTCCCATAGCGAAGAGCCGGAATTTTGATTTCTGCATGAGCTGAGCGCACCGTACCGCTACCGGTACGGCTAAACATTTCACAAATACTATTTCTTGGTCCGCTAGTATGATCTTGGTGGAACGCCTCCACAACTGGTGTATTCCTCTGAGTGTGCTGGAGTTGTGAACGATAGCGGAATTAAAATATTTTGATTTCTGCATGAGCTGAGCGCACCGTACCGCTACCGGTACGGCTAAACATTTCAAAAATACTATTTCTTGGTCCGCCAGTATGATCTCGGTGGAACGCCTCCATAACTGGTGTATTCCTCTGAGTGTGCTGGAGTTGTGAACGATAGCGGCCGTGGGTAGGCCGTGTATATCATTTCCTGATCACTCCGGTAGCTGCTTTGCGCACAGATTCAGCTCATCTGCAATCCTCTTCTCGGCAACAGCTGTTTTCATCATAGTTTCACTTTTCTCGCTTGTATTTTCCCCATAGTTCTATCAGCCGTAGCTCCGCCTCAGCAGAAAGGACAACTCGAGGCATGGTACTACCGGACTCTCCAAAAACTAACAAAAACTCTGCGCACTCGACACACCAAACCACTTGTTTCGACTTGCCTGAAAACTAAAAGCCGAAATCCGCTTTCAAAGCCGCCTTCAAAGCCACTCCGGGATGGCTTTGAACGTTGATGTGATTTTTCACTTTTCGCGCATGTTTCCATGCCCACAACATGATGCTTGTATGCGGTTTTGTACCGTGTGTGAATGGGGGCTTACGATCAAGGAGACTGGAACTGAAAAGTTCACGATCCAAGGCTCGTACATTCGCCCAAATCTTGTTGGCGATTCTGCGTTTCCTTTGTCTGCCACGCTCATGAAGTGCCATGATGACAATGCGGCCCTGCTTCCCTGGCAACAGACGTTCAACTATCGACTAATCCGTACCAGGCGAGTGGTAGAACAGGCGTTTGGGAGGCTGAAAGGGAGATTTAGGGTCCTGGTGCACAATAACTTGAATGACCCAGAGTTTACCATTCGTGTAGCTATGCCATTCATAATGTATGCGAGTGCTGGAGATGTCCAGCGGAAGCAACATGACTCATCGACGATGCAACATACAACAAGTACCATGCTGGGCCGAACGATCAGCCCAATGCGGAGTTAGATCAGGCTGGTTTGAGCATTCGCAACAAGCTAGCTCAGTACACCCATCAGCAGGATCCCATCGAATGAGCAAACTAGGCTTTGTGTAAGTCAACAGCATGGAAGAGTGCTATTACAGTGATCCAAAGCTTCCATTTATGAGCGAGCCGTACTCCATCATTGGTACTCATTGTGATGATGTCAATAATACCTACAATGTACATGCTAGTTGATACTTATAAAATAGAGGAGTTTTGTCTTTAGTGCACACATCATGACGTACATGCCATTGTAAACCCTAGCTCATCCATGCACTCCCTGCATAATGCTACTACAATGTTATCACTGCATGTTCGCAGGAGTTAAACCAGCTAACGCATATAGAAATCCACGACGAATACCTCCTTTTGAGACAATAATTTTGCTTTCTTAGTTCATGTTTCTTTACACCATTACCACAGGCAGCTACCAGTACAGACGGGCTAGACAGCAACAAGCTCTCTCGGAACGCTTTCCCCACTCGGCATGCAAATTCATTTTCTGTATTAAGCTAAAACTTGCTCCTCCGCAAGCACTTGCACATTTAAAAAGCTGGTTCAATAATAGCTCGCCTACTAGATGTTCTCTCCAGTTCCCATTTGCCAGATCACCAATCCTTTTATGATCCCCTATCTTCAAGTCCTATTTTCATTGGCCTCGGCTTCCGCAGGAGGCAGTCTTGCGACACCTATGCTGCATTTTGTTCCATTCTGCACACGCCTACCTAAGTTGAATTGACAAGAGTTTCGTTGTTTTTCATTGCTAGCCTAATCTTCATACTGATTTCTCCAGGTTCCTTTAGTATTCCTTTTGTTTTGTTTTCAGTGTTATTTTTTCTCCTGTTTATTCTCAGTTTTCCCCACCATGGCTGGTTAAAATCGCCTGCATCACATGTTTATTGGCACTATGTCATCGTGATTGTGGAATTATTATTATTACTATTATACGCATTCCCGCGGCAACGTCAACCAAGCAGTTATGCTTGATCCACACGTTCGCTTATGCTGGACATTGAAACAAAGAAGATGTAGACAGATCCTAGAGAATGGGGCTCTACAATCCCAATGATCGAAGTTAGTCCTTCAGTAACATGGAGCGTCATAAAATTGGGCTCATTGGAAAAATGTCATTACTATTGTCTCCTCATGTAGCATAAAAGATTCAAATGGTATAAATTTCTATATCATTGTGGAATAATAATAATATAACAAACAGCTTGAGCTTTGGAATTAGAAAGAATCATATGCGTGCCGAAGATGTTGAGGGTCCACTGCATAGGCATTGAAAGAGCTGCATTCGGACATTGTATGTACAATCAGCTAGTCGTACATCCCATCGTGTATATTGTATAGGCATGTCAGCAAGAATGTCATTAACGCAGAGAGATTATTCGGAAATCAGTCACTGATTTGACCAATACATTAATCAGAGTCGCCACTGAGAAACGCAATTAGCACACCATTACCACCGGCAGCTACTAGTAGAGACAGGCATGGCAGCAACAACAAACAGCTGGAGCTTAGGAATTAGAAAGAATCATATGCGTGCCTAAGATGTTGAGTGTTCACAGCATAGGCATTGAAAGAGCTGCATTCGGACATATTATGTACAATCAGCTAGTCGTACATTCCATCGTGTATAATTATTGTATAGCCATGTCAGCAAGAATGTTATGAACGCAGAGAGATTATTCTGAAATAAGCCACTGATTTGACCAACACATTTAATCAGAGTCGCTGTTGCTGGCGTGTCGTCTCCTCCTTCCAAAGTGGTTCTGCATCAGCGTACCTTGGAATGTCATCATGGATTGCTGCATAGTCATAACAAACTGCTGATGGCGCTCCTGTGCCCTGGCATCCTTGTCTTCATGCTGTTGCCTCATCCGCTCCTCAAACTGATGTTGCTGTTGCTGGAGCTGGGCCTGCAGTCATTCAAAAAAAGATGAAGAAAGTAAACTGTCGTGTCCGTTCCCCAGGGACCTCATGACGCCCGCTAACACCCAATAATACAGCTGCAGATGCAGCGCCTAACAGTGACGAAGAACGTTACAAGAACGGAGCTACATTAATATCAGTCGTTAATGACTGATGCACCCCAAAGGGTTAAATTAAGTACCCTATTTCCAGAGTAAAAGCCGGGCTTAAACACTGGACATCAACCAAAAAAGGTTGGAGCGGCTTTATGGTGAAATGAACCGTGAAATGTATGGAAGTCGTTTATATTTCGTTATAAAAATCTTGTTGGGGTTTATGCTCCAGTGTGGTCTATACGCCGTAAAATACGGTACACAGAAATTCAGGCCACTGGGGAGTAGAGAACTGTGCGGTTTTCAATGAAACATTCCAAACATTTACATACCTGTAGTTACTGCAGTGGATTAAAAAAAAGATATATTCGTGGGCACATTTTCAAAATTTAAACTCACCTGGATGGCTAAAGTTTGCTGCGCTTGACCGTCTAGAATTGAACCCATTCCATCAAGGAACTGCCGCTGTTGCTCCTGCTGGGGTGGTGTTACTGTTTGGGTACGTGCACGCACAATTCTTGTAGGTGGTGTGTTGGGTGTTGGGTGTTGCTGTGCGTCGCTCACTGCTACCTGTGCTTGAGCACCCCTTGCTGGTTGTTCAGACACGGCCTGTTCGTTATCTTCGTTGTCGCTGCTACTGGGTGGCACATCGCGCTCGCTTCCAGGTCCATCATCACCTACCCCGTAGTCTTCATCCAGTAGAACGGGAAGTGCTTCATCTACTTCATCGTCTTCCACTTGAACTTGGAGCAATAAACCAGCTGCACCAGCATTCGCATCAGCAGCAACAGCACTCCTATCAGCACCGGTGTCACAATCCTCCTCCTCGCTACTTTTAGCGGTGTCCGTGCCCAGGGCTATTCCCATGGTGGGGTGAGCATTCAACAGCTCATAATAGCGCTTGAGAAGAGGCCACTTGGCACGCTTTACAATATCCTCCCAGTCAAGATCGTTGTCGTCGTCGTCGTCGTCGTCCACAGCTGCTCCTGTCCGCTCCTTTTCTCTATCTCGGACAAGAGGCAGGACAAAGGTCTTCGTCTTCTGTGCAATCCACTTGAACTTATCAATATCCCTCTTCATCTTTTTATCAAACCGGGTTTTACTTCGAAATACAGTAACAGCAATAGTTCTTTCAGCTCTAGAGTCTACAAACACTTCATGACCCCAGTACATGCAGGGAAGATACCCAGGCAGTCTACACGCAAAGACAGTACCAAACGACAACCAAACAACAACAGTAGTGACACACAAACACAGAATCAGTGACAGTAGCCTTCACTTTGCATAATATTATGCAGGTTCCGCCAAAGCTGATCCGCGAACGCGGAGGTTCCGCTCGCATTTTTCTGGCGTAGCGAAATCCAAGCTTTTCGCCCAAAGCGTAAGTACGCCTCCGCCGTAAGTTACGGTTTGGCGGCGCAGCCAAAAAAAGTGCATGTGTGACCGCGGCCTTAGTAGAGTGTTTGTGGCACTTTACCCAGTTTATCTGGTGATAGTCGCTGGAAAAATGGCCTCTGCGTACTGCCTTTGTTTCGTTTTGATTCTCCTGGGCACGTCTAACTCACAGTTGGGAGCAGAGCCACACTAAAATGCCCACCCAGAGTCCATGGTGTTCGTCGGCATAGCGGTAGCTGCGGCGTTGTCGTCAGTTCCGCTTCGCAACGCTGCAGTCCCCGGGCTACGTATGCCTGTAGTGGGAATCGACACGGGTGGCTACGCCTTTTCTCCGGCGCAGCACGGAGAGATATGGAATGACAGCACGGAGAGATATGGAATGACAGCACGGAGAGATATGGAATGACAGCACGGAGAGATATGGAATGACAGCACTGAGAGATATGGAATGACAGCACTGGCCAAAAGGTACATTATAACAGTTTATAGGCCACACTGTCACAATAGTTATCCTATGTTTTTAGCCAGCAAATTACACACTAAAGTACACTAGAGGGCGATAAAAAAAACAAAAAAAGGAATCTGAAAAGTCAGGAAAGGAAAAATGTAAATCACCGAAAAAAAGGTTGTAGTCTTTCATACAGTCGTCACCAAAACAATCCGGCTAATGCCATGGATACAGTGCACTAGTGTCACTGGTAAGGGAAATGGTACGTGTTCACGGGCACACCGACAGTTCTTCATACAGTCAGCAGGTGACATGGTACCTTGGTGGCATGCATGCATTTACAGACTACCAGCACAGGACTGAGCAGTCTGCGCTGCGTGACTCTGCCCAGCCTGCTGCTGCAGTCGAGTCGAGCTCAGCCCATACACCATACAGCTGCTGATAGCTTAGCATAGCATTGGCCAGATTTTGTTTGGCGACGACTGTACGTTGTGCCTTTCCTAACTTGTGTACTAGTCTGACAGAGTTGGTATACAGTCAGACCTCGCCTAACCGCACACATCTGTTTTCCACAAAAATATCCGGATAGGCGAGGGAATCGGATAACTGAACACACATACTGTATATGCATGTGGCATGTCATAAGCAGTGACATTGTACATACATGTAGATGGGTTCTATGCAGTACAACTATCGTGCACAGTATGTAAAACAAGCGAGAAAAATGACAAGTGCATGCAACTGAGTGCTGTCCACATGCACCCAGCAGGTCATGGACCTCATTTGCCTGTACAACTCCCTGATTCTAGCTTCTGGAAGCCACATGCAACAGGATACAACGAAGCTTTTTGTACACATTTTAACCAGTTTGTACACAAAATCCCGCACCGGTATGCGGATCGCGAGGTCCGGTTATGTTGTATGCATAACATATGCTGCACATCGGTAACCAGCGATTTTCTTCCGCATGGCGAGGGACCCGGATAAACGAGGTCTGACTGTATAATAACCTCCTCAGCAGTGCACATGCGTTGTTGGCCAACACTACTGAGTTGATCCAGGTAATGACCTGAGCAAGTGGGTCAGTGACTGCAGACGTGTGCATCAGTAGACATACAAATATACTTACAAACTGATACGGTCACATATGTACTTTCTCACATCTGAGAAAACAAACACCTTTCACACACCTGAGAAAACAAACACCTTTCCCACCTGAGAAAACAAACACCTTTCACACACCTGAGAAAACAAACACCTTTCACACACATGAGAAAACAAACACCTTTCACATACTTGAGAAAACAAACACCTTTCACTCACCTGAGAAAACAAACACCTTTCACATACCTGAGAAAACAAACACCTTTCACACACCTGGGAAAACAAACACCTTTCAAACACCTGAGAAAACAAACACCGTTCACACACCTGAGAAAACAAACACCTTTCACACACCTGAGAAAACAAACACCTTTCACACCTGAGAAAACAAACACCTTTCACACATCTGAGAAAACAAACACCTTTCACACACCTGAGAAAACAAACCCCTTTCACACACCTGAGAAAACAAACACCTTTCACAAACTTGAGAAAACAAACACTTTTCACACACCTGAGAAAACAAACACCTTTCACACACCTGAGAAAACAAACACCTTTCACACACCTGAGAAAACAAACACCTTTCACACACCTGAGAAACAAACACATTTCACACACCTGAGAAAACAAACACCTGAGAAAACAAACACCTTTCACACACCTGAGAAAACAAACATCTTTCACACCTGAGAAAACAAACACCTTTCACACACCTGAGAAAAAAAACACCTTTCACAAACCTGAGAAAACAAACACCTTTCACACCTGAGAAATCAACCACCTTTCACACACCTGAGAAAACAAACACCTTTCACCCACCTGAGAAAACAAACACCTTTCACACACCTGAGAAAGCAAACACTTTTCACACACCTGAGAAAACAAACACATTTCACACCTGAGAAAACAAACACCTTTCACACACCTGAGAAAACAAACACCTTTCACACACCTGAGAAAACAAACACCTTTCACACACCTGAGAAAACAAACACCTTTCACACACCTGAGAAAACAAACACCTTTCACACATCTGAGAAAACAAACACCTACTGTAGAGGCAGAAAATTTCGTCGGTCAATAATTTCGTCCAACTCCAAAGAAAGGGAGTTCGTCCGGTTGAAAATTTCGTCCATGGATCATTAGAGTGTATAAAAATTTGACAAATCGACATTAGTCCGGCATTAATTTTAGTCCAAAAGCTCCTTGGACGAAAAGTGTTATTTTTCGTTGGCTGAGCGTAGTGAATGGAACGAAAAATATATTTTTTGCCAGCAATTTCACCATAGTTACTGCACTGGGATTGTGGCAGCTAGTTTTTTTGTCAGTGTTCTCAAACTTTTTCTCTTCATCATGGTCTTTCTCTTTTCGTTGTAGTTTCCACCAGCCCTCCCCTTTATTCTCACTTCTGGGTAGGTCCTGTAGGCTACGTTTTGTTACTCTATGTTATGGGGTTATTCTAACCGGTTTTTCCTCAGGGTTGTGCCTCCGCCGAAGTCCTGAGGTTTTTTCCGCCTGCGTCGGGCTGGTTAATTATCTGGCGGCCCCATTCACCACATTGGTCGTACGGCGGCGGTTTTATACTTATTATACATGTAGCTAGCCAGGCCATCGCTTTCATTCGTGTAACGTTGCACCATCGCTTTCATTCGTGTAATGTTACACCATCGCTTTCATTTGTGTAACGTTGCACCATCGCTTTCATTCGTGTAACGTTGCACCATCGCTTTCATTCGTGTAACGTTGCACCATCGCTTTCATTCGTGTAACGTTGAACCATCACTTTCATTCGTGTAACGTTGCACCATCGCTTTCATTCGTTTAACGTTGAACCATTGCTTTCATTCGTGTAACGTTGCACCATCGCTTTCATTCGTGTAACGTTGCACCATCGCTTTCATTCGTGTAACGTTGCACCATCGCTTTCATTCGTGTAACGTTGAACCATCGCTTTCATTCGTATAACGTTGCACCATCGCTTTCCTTCGTGTAACGTTGAACCATCGCTTTCATTCGTGTAACGTTGCACCATCGCTTTCATTCGTGTAACGTTGCACAATCGCTTTCATTCGTGTAACGTTGCACCATCCCTTTCATTCGTGTAACGTTGCACCATCGCTTTCATTCGTGTAACGTTGCACCATCGCTTTCATTCGTGTAACGTTGGACCATCGCTTTCATTCGTGTAACGTTGCACCATCGCTTTCATTCGTGTAACGTTGCACCATCGCTTTCATTCGTGTAGCGTTGCACCATCGCTTTTATTCGTGTAACGTTGCACAATTGCTTTCATTCGTGTAACGTTGCACCATCACTTTCATTCGTGTAACGTTGCACCATCGCTTTCATTCGTGTAACGTTGCACCATCGCTTTCATTCGTGTAACGTTGCACCATCGCTTTCATTCGTGTAACGTTGCACCATCGCTTTCATTCGTGTAAGGTTGAACCATTGCTTTCATTCGTGTAACGTTGCACCATCCCTTTCATTCGTGTAACTGTGTGGACCCTGGCTAGCGCCAGACGTTACTGAAGTAACGTCTTCTGCATAGCTACGGGAATTAAAAAGCATTATGTACCGGGTACTGTAGCCATATACGGGGCACTGTACCCAGTTTTGAGGCATTTCCACTAGTAGATCTACGTAGTAGTAGTATGGGTAGAATGACGAGTCTTCTGCACTGCATTGTCGGAAGTACAGTCGACATGATCAGAGAACAGTACATTTTGTTTTCAATTCAAATCAGGGTCGGCCTCATGTTCTCCTTGCTGCGCTGATGAGTCCACGAAGGACCAGTCAAGGATCACGAGAATTAGGGGAGGTCGATATAGAGGAGTGATAATGGATAAAGGCCTCTTTTACGGGCAAACAAAATACAATTGACAGTGGCATGGCGAATGATTAGAACACAACACCAAAAAATGAACGTTGCAAAAAAAAAACGTTGCAAAAAAAACAAAACAAAAAAAACACCAAAAAAACAGGAAATATAAGCGCACTGTCCTGCCCACCATCGTCTCCAAAACCTCACAGCCGGCCCTCCGAGATTGCCAACTCTCGCAATGCATTCACAGGACGGTGATATGACGATTGGGCACCGCTGATGCACATGATCGCCGACCGCAACAATGCAAACGCCAGTCGACACCGGACATATGTCATTGTCTCGGCATACAAC